TTTTTCTAAATATTTTTCCTTCGCGCCGTATGCAAATATGCAAATTTAAAGAAATTTAAGAAATTTCCTTTTTTCTATGCTGGAGACGTCTGTGGAAATAGGACACAGCAGGCCACAATGCTGGACAGTACCCAAACAATCACAAGATGCCGCGAACCGCTGATAATACACACTTTTAGCGAGTTTTTCGGGGACCGCAAAAAAAAACACGTCCGTTTGTTATCGAGCTTTTATTTCCTTTTTTACCGTGGATCTACGGTAATTCTACCGTGGATATACGGTAATTCTTCCGTGGATATACAGTAATTCTACCGTGGATATACGGTAATTTTACTACGGTAAAAGTTACCGTGGCGCGTGTGTGTAGATACTGCCTAAGATTTTACGATGGTTAACACGTGTTTTGAATTCACTGTTAACATATTTCAATAATAATGAACTATGGTTTTAGTTTAAAATACAGTATTATGCCGCGTTTTTGCTGCATTTAAAATGCAACATTTAGCACTTTCGAACATATATTTTCGAAGAGCGTTCATGCTATCGCATTTAGCAAATGTACATTTACGCGAGTTCGAAATCGTATGCTTTTGACAAACAGTCGTGTTCCAGTCGCTATTACGATCAATTCTCATGCAGAAGATAATGTGCAAAAACCCTACGGAAAAGGAAAAAATAAATTTTAAACCAAAAATTCAATACAAAAACTTGAATTGTTTTAACCATAACTGAGCATTTGTTTGTGTATATATTCATTTGTCGGTGCTGTCAGTTAAAATTTCCCCACTTAATTAGGAAACAAAACAAAGAGAGTTGATCACACATTTGTCCAGATTTCTATCAGCATCATATCGATGTTGAATTTGCTTAACTTTTCTTTATCCAAATAATGTAAAACAATAAATGAAATCTCGATCGGCGATCACTAAAACGCAGCTAGCCACTGTATATTCGAAAAAGCAATGTTGCCACTTTTTCACATAAAACCATGTTCGAATCGTAGAAATTTTGGAAGATCACAGGGTTGGTTTTAGCATTTAGATTCTTAATGCAAAAATGGTGTTGCATTTAGTTGCATTTAGGTGACAAATTTTGTATGGATAAATGTACATTTAGGGCCGGTTACTCAATGTCTGGTTAACACTAATCTGCGGTTAAACATCGTTATCGACGTTACCGACACGGTGTTATATGCATGTAGTCGAAGACGTCGATAACGATGTTTAACCGCAGATTAGTGTTGAATCAGGCTTTGAGCAACCGGCCCTTAGAGTAGCATTTAGAGCTAAATGCGCTAAATGTGCTTTTACGTGTAAGCAAAAACAGCCCATTACAGCTGTATCAAGGATGTCAGTAGAAGTAGTGCGAGAGAGGATGCCACAGACCGTTTTTACAGTGACGAGTTAATGGGTCGATTATGAATACCAACGCAAGCTCAGTTGAGTTGCCGAAGGGCAACGCCCCTGAAATGAAATTGTGTATTATGAACAGCAACTATTGTTAGGTGCTACAAAGTTGAAGATAATCGATTTTTGAGGTACCAGCAAACCAAGATTTGAATGTAAATAAGCCGTGGAAATAGTTGAAAAAATAAAAAATAAATTTTCAAAATGGAAATTTCCGCGGCAACCACAAAAATGCAATCGCTAAGGCAATTCGGTTGCCAGCTTTCAGTTGCCATCTGTAATACAATTTCAGTCACCGGCAACTCAACTGAAGTTCGGTTGCCATCCGTAATCGACCCATAATTCTCATTCGGCAGTTAACTATAGATTTTCAGTACAAAAATTGGAAGTTAACTGCCGAATTTAAGTTAACCCCCCACTGTGAAAACGGCACATAGAGACCAGAATTTTGTAAGTCCATATTCAATGCGTGTACTCATCACACATGATCTTCAAAAGTGACGCAACTCATAATTTGGCATTTTTGAAATTATGTGCTAAAAATGTACAGGGAGCTTCTATTTGTCTTTAAGCAAAAGCTGGATAAAATTTTTGTTATAATTTATAACAAGCGGGCCCATGCGCAGACTGCGGAGACAGAAATACACAGTAAACTCATCCCTCTATGTAGCCACAGATAAAAGCAGACTGTTCTAATAGTTCGCGGAAATAGTTAACAGAATTATTCTTATGAACCCCTTATTTTTATTATACATATATAACAAAACGTGAATGAGATTTATAGTACATCAGAACTTATACTTATTAGGTACATAAAAACATATTACAAACTGACTGATATATGAGTGTCGTGAGTTGAGGAAAACATGGTGTTACTTACAATATATCTTTGTATACAATATTTGAGGTGAAAATATATTCAGAATGAACTTTTTGATTAAATATTTCTTTAACAGAAACAATAATATCTGAGCTAAGGGAGCGGTGCGAGAGAGACAACTGTCAGTTTATCGAACCTTTAATTATTGAATTATGTGTGCGCCCACCACTGTCGTATACGGTGTATGCGATGCTGCAGTCACAATAGTGCTTCAGTACAAAACACCTTTAGTGTGGCTTAGCTATGGTAAATTAAAAACAAAAATAAAATTACAAATTTCTTGACTTCAGTGGTGTTATGACCATTAATATTACCTAATAACCACTCAGGGGACCTCTCACTTATCAAATTACACCGCATTAGTGAAATTGCTTACATAGAAAAGTAGAAAAAGGGAGACTAACAAAAAAACACCTTACAGAAATAATATATAAGATATAATATCTAAGGTAAAGTCTCCCCTGCCCATATGATTAGATTAGCATGTGCTACGAACTAGTTTTTCGCATTTTCTGACGAACGTGATATTTTGAGTTGTGTCACTTTTGAAGATGGTGTGCGATATGTATGTCAATCATCATACCAATTGAAAAAATCCATTCCAACTAAGTCATATAGTCCGCATTGGCCTTACTACAAATCTGCCAAGATTTTTTTCAAACTTTCCCGTTAGCGAGACCGTGTATGACATCCGTATTGTGTGCCAATAGTTAAAACCCGTATACGAGCGACCCGTCCCAAACCCGTATGGTGTGCCAAAAATTGAACCCGTAGCAAAATCCGTGTACAACAACCGTATTGTGTGTCAATAGTCACTCCGCTGATAATTTTGATTATTGTAACCTCTCAGTGGAAAATTAATTTACAAATTTCACAGCAATTTTAATTTCTTTTTGCTTGGGGTTTCTAGTGAATCACTTTCAGATTCATCCTTTACGGTACTAAAATTATAGCATCTTTGTTTATAATCATGCATCTCTTCCTTCTCTTCAGAGATATTGGAAAACATCACAGGCCCTGAAGCCTTTAAAGTCATAATTGTTTTGCCAATACGACGAGATTCTACAAAATATACGAAAGTTTGATTTTTGTACAAATCATCTACATCTTATTAGGTGTTTACCAGCTCTCAGAAATAATTGCCTGCACGATTTATCCACGGCGTTCTTCCCCTGATCCTCTGATAATCCAAATATGTATGACCTAATTTAAATACGTATATAAGTAGCATGAAAATACCAAAATACATGAGCATTTTATAAATATCTTACAAATTTGCCACATCGTAGGGTCCTCGCAATTCAAAGGCATTCTTTGCGCCGCTACTAAAAATAATATTTCTTGATTTCCCACGAACACAATAGTTGTGTGCCAACTTTATCATATCTTTCCGTATGCAATCATCTTTTGTAGCTGGTCCATATTTGATTTCAAAAAACATTCCCCGCT